CCCGCCGGCGCGCCCCGCCCCCTCCAGCCCTGTATAAACAACCCCCACTCTCTAGCCAAAGCCCGGCTTTAGGGAGATAGGGCTCGTTTGCAGATGGAAAACGGGTGACTTGGGAACAAGCCCAGTAGATTCCCCTGCAGGCACGGCCATCGAGACATTGCCGCAGTGCTGCTGATGCACGAAAACTAGAACGTGCAATCGACTGCAATTACAAAAAAAAAAAAAAAACAACCCCGCCCCAGGAAAGGTGAAAAAGCACATACCAAGTCTTAGTTTGCACCGCCTGCATTTGGTGTTTTTAACATAGGCAGACTTCTTAATGAGTTACTTGCAACTACCTTCTGGAATGAACGAGGAGCGTCTTCCGACACATAAGAAAAGTGTAAAACAGAAGCGATGTTAGTTGACTAAGTAGCCGGTTAGTCGGTAACTGTAGCGGTTCTGTAGCACCTTAGAGACTAACAAAATAGTCTCTTAAGTGCTACAGGTCTACTCATTGGTCTTTAGCACTGGCTGTCTCTAATAGCCCTGCTGGAAAGGTCCAGCTGGCAGTAACCTGGTTGCGCAGTGCGTAATACAACCGTGGAGTTGGGATCATACAGGAAGCAAAACATCTCAGCAGCGGAAATGCCTGCAAAACGCTCTGTGCGGCTCGAGTCCTTTCCCTATGCTGCCGGAGATGGGCCATGTGGATCCGGCCTCTCCTAAGCCTCCAATGTACCCGGGGAGCTCGAGCTGGTCTCGGGATTTGTAGCGGAAAGAGCCAGCAGAAGCAAGCGCTGTATCCGCTAATGGCTCATCGCGGTCTCTGCGTGGGTGGCTGCTCCCAGGACGCTGCATGTACGTTTGATGCCTTTGAATCGTTCTCTTGTGTTTACTAGTGATGCCACCCTTGCGGCCTGGCATTTGTAGCGCCAGGAGTCCCTCTCTCGCAGTAGATTGAGCATTTGAGATGGATGTAGTATAGAAGGAGAAAAATAAAGCAAACGCCATTTCATTCCTCGGAGCAGGTGGATGGTTATTGCTTTTCACAAAGGAGCAGGTGACTCTTGTTTGAAAGGTATTTGAGAAAGTGCTTTGGATCTGGCGGTTATGGGGGTGTTAGTTTATTCAACATTGTTACTGTGGACCTTGACCGTTCTTTTATGAAGTACAAAGTTGTTGGATGTGCCTTAAATCTGCTGAGCGCAGAAAGCAGCCTCTGGTTTAGCCTACTGCAAATTGCTCCTGATAAAGTAAGTACAGAACCCGCCTGCCAGATGGGGAAAGTATTAAAAATGAAATGCAGTATATTGAAAAAAATTCCCACCTCACAAATATAACCCCTACACATTATTTTTAAAAAAAAACAGGATGAGCTCTGGTTTCTTCTTTTTCTTTTTTTCGTTTGTAGTCGGAAGGAAGAGGCAGTTTGTGAAATAGTGAGCTACCAGCAACTTTCAAACTCCTTTTATGGCATTAGTGTGGGCTTGTAAACTGAGTACCCATTTGTACTTCTCTCTTTACAATGCACACATGAACAATATATTGTAATTAAATGCCTTGAGTCCAGGTTCACCTTTACATACTGAACAAAGCTGTGCAGTGAACATTATAAAGGGGCATTATTGAATTGCAATCCAGTCAGTTTCAGAAAATGAGTTAAAAGTAGTTTTAATTATAGTTGGCCTGACTCCCTTGTCATTTATTTTGGCAGTCACAATTCCCTGTTTTTAATCTGGTTTTCCTCCACTGTGAGAGGCCCATACTGAGAGATAATGACTTGTCACAGGTTCTGATATCTGCATTACCAGTTTGATTTGTGGAACTGGTTTGTAAGACTGCACACACAGTTCTGTCAAAGGTGCATAGTATCTATTTTTCTCTACTCTTTTCAGTGATAGGCTATGTTAGATGTTACTTGAATAAATAGTAAGGACAAATCTTTAGATGGAAGAGTAACTTTTAAATTGAAGATGTCTACTTAGAATCTAAGTTTCTGATCCTGCAGAGACCTGTGAAATCAATGGTGCTTTGTCCAGGCACAGGGATCTGCCTATGAATCATAGATTAGATGACCTCATAAGTCTCCTCCCAACCTCATTTTGTAACCCCCTGGCCAAAGCAAGAGCAACTCCAACTAAATCATCTCATCCAGAGATTTGTCAAACCCCAGTGGGGAAAGGTGGGACCTGGCCCTGGCCTTGACTGTGCAGCAGTGGCCCTTGACATACTGCATCGGCCTTGGACTCCAGCCCCTGTGCAGCAGTCCAGACATACTGCATCGGCCTTGGACTCCAGCCCCAGCCATGCCTACCCACGGTCCTAGCAAGACCTCCAAGTTTTGCCCGCCCTACCCCCACCAATGGTTAACTGATTAAACAATAATTTTAACTGGTTAACTGTTTTGATGGCTATTTACATCCCTAATCCTCTTTGGAACCCCCTTTCAGGTGGTGGAAGGCTGCTGTCAAATCCTCAATTCTTCAATTCGTCTAGGTCACTCTGGACCCTATTCATACCCTCCAACATATCTACATCTCCCCCCTATTTAGTATCATCCACAAACTTGCTGAGGGTGCAACCTATCCCATCATACAGATTATTACATGAAGATATTGAACAAGACTGTCAATAGAACCCGCCACCCTCTCTTCCCCACCCCAGGTGAACGCCTATTCCCTAGGCCACGCCGGAACCCACCCAACCATCTTACTTTCAGGGCGCCTGTCTGCAGGACTGACCCATCAGGCATTTCGCTTGATGTTGGCTGCCGTTGATCACTACCTATTGAGCCTGATGATCTAGCTAGTTTTCAGTTCATCTTATAGTACATTTGTCCAAGCCATACTTCAGTTTGCTGGCAAGAATGCTCTGGGAGACCATGTTAAAAGCTTTGCTGAAGTCAAGGTATATCATGTTCACTGCTTTTCCCCATAACCACAGAGCCAGTCATCTCATCATAAAAAGCAATCAGAGTAATTCATTAAAGATCTGAGGCCTGTTTTCTTATGGTGAAAATAAGAACTAACAAAGGAACATACATTATTAATAATCCTGCACAATGAAGGTAGGAACCAGCCTCTGTCCACTGCGAGCCGGAGCCTGCCACAGGCAGAGGCTGCTTCGTGGCAGCACTCCCTGTGTGGGGGGGTTCGATCACCCTGTGGACAGAAGCTACTCTGCATTCCATGGAGCAGCCTCTGTCTGTGGCAAGCCTGGGCTTGCCGCATTAAGAGGCTGCTTTCTGACAGTAGTCCCTGTCCACGCGGTGACCCATCTCCCTGTGGACTGAGGTTGCTCTACATCACGCAAAACAATCTCTGTCCCCATATCAGAGGCAGCAATGCGGGGTAGCAGGCAGCTGGTCTGCACGGGGAGCTGGTTTTTTAACTGGTTCCTGTCGCGGACTGGCTCCTCCTGCCACTCTGTGCATGGGGCTGGAAGAACATGGGTTGCTGGCCCTGCCCCGGGGACTATCGAATAGTTGTGTAACCGCAAAGATTTCATGTGGTTACACGACTATTCAATTACCTGATATCTAACATCCCTAGTCCTGATAGAGGCTTGGAAATGTAATCTAAGAGCAGTTTCCTAGTTCTTTTAACAAGTGTTTCTTTCCGTTCTAGATAAACACCTGGTTGGTGAAGGAGAGAAAAAGACGGTTGTGAGTATAATATTTTGCTCATAAAAATTATATATTTAGCATAGTGATAGAGATGGAGCGGTGTTAGTCTGATCTAGCTGATACAAAAGACAGGACTATGCAGCACTTTAAAGACTAACAAGATGGTTTATTAGCCACAAAAGCTCATCACCTAATAAACCATCTTGTTAGTCTTTAAAGTGCTGCATAGTCCTGTCTTTTGTTTCAGCTATATTTAGCATATTATTTTTGCAATAAAATTATATTATGGAAATGTCCATAGGTTAATGACTGGGACTTGCTGTGAGGTGGTACACAAATCGGTTAATGACTGGGACTTGCTGTGAGGTACACAAATAAAATCTAGAGTTTTGTCCTGCCTTTTGTTCCGGACAGGCAGACCCTTCCTTGCTGAAATCATTGAGGAAACTTAAAAGAAAATCAAAAGGGTTCCAGGCAGGTGAAGGGGCTGCTTGGTGTGGAACACAAATCAATCGATCAGGGCTACAGAATTAGTAGTCAGCGTTCTAAACATAGCCTCCTTCATTTACAGTACATGTATTTTGGCTGTAAACTCTAAGGGTATGTATACACTTGCACCCTAGTTCAAACTAGGGATGCAAATGCAGACATTCGAAATAGTCAGCGAAGCAGGGATTTAAATATCCCATGCTTCATTAGCATAATCTTGCCAGCACATTACTCCGAATGCCAGCTGTTTCGAAAGTGAAAGAGCGCGCTGGGACGTGTTAGTTCAAACAAAACCCCTTGGTTCGAACTAACGTTACTTCTTCGGGTAGTCCCCGTGGGTGCTCCACGTCTGGTATTGGGCTGGTCACAGTCCCGCAAATCGGAACTTGCCAGAGCTGTGTTCGGTCGGACCGCGTGTGCGCGAGCCGGTTTCGCACCTTTCATCTGCCGCGCGCAGTCCAGCGCACACGGACCGCGTGTGCGCGAGCCGGTTTCGCGCCTTTCATCTGCCGTGCGCAGTCCAGCGCACGCCAGTTTCCTCTCATCCGCCTTGGGTCGCACACAGAGCTCCCCCTTTTCTCCTCAGACGGTTACCTGAGTGGAAGTTTAGAAAGATTTAGATAATATTTTCCTTAGCCTTACTGTTCATTACTTTGTTCCTCTTAAAAAACAAACAAACCCCTTATATTCCGTTTCTTGTTTTAGCCCTGGGTTGCGGGCTCTTTGTGTTTAAAAACACACAAAACAAAAGAAAAGGAGAAGAGAAGAGAAACAGTTTCTATTTCCATGTAGTAATAGTATCTTTTTTTTAGCTACTGTTGCTGTTCTTTCACCCCTGCTTCATGGCCTTTTTTTTTCCCTCAAAACCCCCCCCAATAAACCTGAAACATCAAACAAACGGAAGGAAGGAAGGAAGACGTTTCTTCTCATTTTATGTTTACACACACTGTTTCTCTCAGTTACTGTTGCTGTTCAACTTAGTAGTTTCACTGTTTAAAACAACAACAAAAAAAGAAAAACGAGATAAGAGGGAGAGAAAAGAAAAAAACGATCAGAGTCAAAAGTGGTGGCACATAGGGGGTGCGAACTCACACTCCTCTCAGGGTGCCAAAATGCCAGGCTCCCCTGGTTTTAAAAAATGTTCCATGTGCGGAGAGCCAATGCCAGTCTCCAACGGGCACTCTGCTTGTGTCTGTTACCTGGGGGAGGCACATATTCCTTAAAAGTACACACATTGTGCCAGGCTGACAACAAGAGCTCGCAAGGAGCGGGAGCAACGTCTAAAGGAGATCCTGTTTAATAAGGCTCTCATGCCTTCCAACGTAACAGGCTCCTCTGCCTTGGACCCCATGCCAGAAAAGCGGAGAGCTCCTTCCCCAGCTGTGCCTTCTCCTAAAAGGAAGAGAGCCTCTCTTGCTCGTTCCCTGCCAGTTGCTCCGCAGTTGCGGGTGAGAGCAGGTGATAAGCCGGGTACCTCGGGCTTGAGGATGACCCGTGCATCTACTTCAAAAAAGCCGGCCTGCACTTCCTAGTCCCGGCAGCTCTCGGCACCACAGCCTACAGCAGGGCTCTCTGCACCAGCCTCTGAGATCCCTGCAGTCACTCTCCTCACAAGGAGCTGTCCTCAGCACCGGCACCCGAGGGGCATGCTGCTGCCCAGGTGCCTCCTTCATTGCAGCCAGCTGATCAGTCTGCATGCTCTGAGCAGCTTCCAGCAGCCTCTAATAAAGCAGCACCTAAATCAAATGTCCAGGAGATCTCTCTTTCTCCCTCCCCCGTTTTCTCTCCGGAACCATCCCCTCACCCTTCTAGTTCTGCACACCATACAAGGGCTCAGAGGGAATATCATTGGCAAAGCGTGTCATCTCGCCACCATTATTATAGGGAGCACAGCTGCTCACACCACAGATGCTCTAGATCTCATTCTCCTTCAAGACGCTCACGCTCACCGATCCGTTCGCCACGGAGTGCTTACTATGTCAAGCATAGCAGTGTTAGGTCTTCTAGACGTTCGTCACCTGCAGGGTCTGACTGATGTTATATGCACTATCACAGACCCTACTACACTGAATCATCTCATCACAGTCACTCTCGATCTTACTGCAGATCACCATGTTCCTGTCAGTCGATCAGCCCACGCACCGTACATTCAGAGCTTCAGAAGCAGTCTCTGCTCCGGGATATGCTACCTCCACGTTCCCCGGTCCCTCGATCACAAATGTCTGACCTAGATGACCCAGACATTTCTCCTAATGCCTGCTCGTCCGTGCCCTCGAGGGATGAACCGGTAACTCTGGCCGAGACGTCACCTCCCGACGACCTCAAGGAATTTCAAGATCTCTTTAAACCTGTCATGCAATCCCAGGAGGTACAACTTACTGAGACCCAGATGAAACAACATAAGCTGTTCAAGAATTTATACCCTAAACAGCAGCGAAAGATTACCCTCCCGATAGATGATGCTATCATGGAGGTAGCGGAGGAAATCTGGCAAACACGAACATCAATACCGCCTACCAACAAAAAAGCGGATAAGAAGTATTTCGTTCCATCCAAGGGGTTGGACTTTCTTTTTAATTACCTACAGCATAACTCCCTAATAGTGGATGCGGTTCGCCATAAGAGTAAGACACCCCCCTTCAAAAATTCCCTACCGGATAGGGATACTAAGAAATTAGACCCTTTTGGGCGTAAGATTTACTCTTCCTCAACCTTACTCCTACGAATTGCCAATTATGCTGCCCTTTTGTCAAACCATAACTTTGACAATTACTCCAAGCTTCCGGAACTTCTGCAACACCTTCCCGAAAACAAGAGACCTCTTCTTAAAGCAGTTGTCCAAGAGGGGTTCATGGCATGCAGAACATCACTTCAAATCACTGCTGACGTTGTGGACACGGCCGCACGGGACATGACAACAGGTATTATGATGTGAAGAGCCTCCTGGCTATTATCAGCGGGAGCCCCTACGGAGTTGCAGTCTAAAGTGGAAGATTTACCCTTTGACTGTCAAAAGCTGTTTGCCTCCACTACCGATGAGATTCTCCATTCTGGGAAGGACTCTTGTACTACGCTCCGGACTCTAGGGATGTACACGCCGACTTTCAAATGCAGGTGATACTACCCCTTTCAAAGGAGATACAATTACTCATCCTATAAGCAGCAACAGCAACGCGGACCTGACCAATCTAGGTTTAGACAGCATCCTCAACGCAAATGTCAGCAGCAGAATCGCCCATCAGCTCGGCCTGCTCAGAAACAGCAGGTTTGACTTCTGTGTGAAGGACTCGAACGCGTCTCCAGTGGTTAACACACACACAAGCCTGCCACCGGCCTGTTCCATCACTGGCTAAAGCCATATCTTCATCAATGGGCCAACATTACCTTGGACCGATGGGTCCTAGAGGTCCTATCATCAGGCCTAACGATCCCATTTATCTCAGTCCCTCCCACTACCCCTCCCACTCAGTCCCTTCCCAGGGAGCCATCTCACGGGGTCGCTCTTCAAGGAGAAGTCCTTCACCTCCTAGAGATCGAAGGCATAGAGCGAATACCTGCGGAATTCCGGGGAAAAGGTTTTTACTCCAGGTATTTCCTAGTCCCCAAAAAGTCCAGGGGGTGGAGACCTATCCTCGATCTGAGAGGTCTAAATCGTTTCATCCAGAAGCAGCACTTCAAAATGACCACCCTGGCCAAGATCATGCCAGCACTAAACAGAGGAGACTGGTTCGCAGTCCTAGATTTACAAGACGCATATTTTCATGTGACAATACACATAGCTCACAGACGATTTCTGCGGTTCGTAGTGGGGGATGACCACTTTCAGTACAAGGTACTTCCGTTTGGCCTTATCTTGGCCCCAAGAGTGTTCTCCAAAACGCTGGTGGTAGTGGCTGCCCATCTATGCAGAACGGGGGTCTCAATTTTTCCCTATCTCAATGACTGCCTCATCAGGGGCCACACTCAGTCAGATTCATCACATGATAGTCGCAACTTGAGATCTATTCGACTCCCTCGGCCTTATTGTAAACATGCAAAAATCACATCTGCAAATCCTAACCTTCATAGGAGCATGGCTCGACTCCCAGTCAGAGAGACTTCATCTGCCAGCCGAGCGTTTTCAACTCATACAAGACTTGATAAAAACAGTCTTCAAATCTCCAGCGCTCCCAGTACGCGTATGACTACAGCTCTTGGGTCATATGGTGGCGACTACAATCATAGTGTGCCATGCAAGGTTATACTTGCAGTGCCTGCAGCATTGGCTGAACACAGAATACAATCCTGTCAGGCACAGCATCCGCAAAACCGTGGTGCTACTCACACATGTCAAGGACTCCCTGCGTTGGTGGACCAACCCCAACAACGTGCTGTCAGGAGTCCCCTTCCATGTGGTGCAGCCATCAAGGGAGGTTACCACGGACGCTTCTCTCATCTGCTGGGGTGCCCATATGGGCACAGAAACAGTCCAAGGCCGTTGGTCCACGAGGGAAATGATGCTCCATATCAACCTTCTCGAACTCCGAGCGGTGTTTCATGCCTGCAAACACTTCAAGATGCGCATAAGAGGAACCGTCACCAGAATTCTCACCGACAACATCGTGGCGATGTGTTATGTGAACAGGCAGGGAGGTGCCCGCTCCCGCTCCCTTTGTACAGAAGCAATCCGCCTTTGGACCTGGTGCATTCGAAATGACATTTTTATAGTCGTGTCATACTTACCCGCTGTGAGCAATACCATTGCAGATGCGCCGAACAGATATTTTCATCATGACCACAAGTGGGTGATCCGCACGGAAGTCCTCTCACCTCTCTTCCATCGGCGGGGTCGTCCGGCGATAGATCTGTTCGCCACACGTGCCAATGTGAAATGCAGAGCTTACTGTTCCAGAGCAGGAGTGGGTGGTCACTCCCTGGGAGAGGCATTTCTCCTCCACTGGAGGACATCACTTTTGTATGCATTCCCCCCTGTTCTCATTCCCAGAGTACTCGAGAAGATCGTGATGGACAAGGTACGAGTGATACTCATAGCCCCAGCGTGGCCCAGACAGACATGGTACTCAACTCTCCTGCAGCTCTCCGTCTGAGCACCGTACCGATTTCCTTACCTACTAGACTTGCTGACACAACAGAAGGGCTCCCTTCTTCATCTGAAGCTGGACACTCTGCACCTAACCGTGTGGATGATAGATGGTTCAGCATGTCCGAGAATCTTTGCTCAGACCAGGTGAAGCGTGTCCTGCTACACAGCAGGAAGGATTCCACCAGGAAAACCTACCTGTCCAAGCGGTCTAGATTCGCACACTGGTGCGCTCCTAAGCACTTAGACCCCGTTTTTTCACCACTACATGTTTTACTGGATTATGTCCTCCAGCTACAGGCGACTGGACTCTCCATGTCATCACTTAAAGTCCATGTGGCAGCGATAGCTGCTTTTCACTACCCTGTCGAAGGGAGGTCGTTTTTTTCCCATCCCATGATGACTAGATTTCTCAAAGGCCTGGCTAACCTTAACCCACCACGTAGGCCTCCGCCACCTACATGGAGTCTTGATCTGGTGCTGGATGTCCTAACTCGGCCACTGTTTGAACGGTTGGCTACCGATGCTTACAATGAAAGTACTCTTCCTCCTTGCCGTAACATCGGCACGTAGGGTGAGCGAATTAGCTGCATTGATGTCAACGCCCCCCTATACAGTCTTTAATAATGAATCCGTAATATTGAGATCTCATCCAGCCTTTCTACCTATAGTCTGCACAGATTTTCATATAAATGAGCCAATCGTTTTGCCATGTTTCTATCCAAAACCTCATGCCTCTGTGTGACGCTCTCCTGCATACCCTCGATGTTCGTAGAGCCTTGGCATTCTATATAGATAGAACTCGTACTCTTCGTAAGACGGCTCGCCTCTTTGTTTCGACATCAGGGCCTTCTAGGGGCGAGCCCTTATTGGCCTAGCGTATTTCTAAACTGGTTGTCTTTTGTATTACGACTTGCCACACTATTTGTAAGAAGCCTCTCCCATTGCAGCCTAGGGCCCACTCGACACAAGCAGTTGCTGCGTCTGCAGCTTTTGTGAGAGGAGTCCCTCTACGGGACATCTGCCGGGCGGCGACTTGATCTTCTACTTCCACTTTTTCAAGGCATTATGCAATCGTTCAGCACTTTACCTCTGATTCAGCGGTAGCCTTGGCAGTGCTACCTAGTGTTCAGAATCCTGATTCCGAAGCACCAGACGTGGAGCACCCACGGGGACTACCAGAAGAAGAAGAAGTTACTCACCTTCGTGCAGTAACGATGGTTCTTCAAGGTGTCTCCCCGTGGGTGTTCCATGACCCGCCCTCCTTCCTGCTTCGGAATCTCGTCTTTTTCTGTCTTTCAGATAGACGGTGAGAGGAACTGGCGGGTGCTGGACCGCACGCGGCAGATGAAAGGCGTGAAATCGGCTCACGCATGCGCGGTCCAGCTGAACACAGCTCTGGCAAGCTCCGATTTGCAGCGCCGGGACCAGCCTGACACGAGACGTGGAGCACCCATGGGGACACACCTCGAAGAACCATCGTTACCGCACGAAGGTGAGTAACTTCTTCTCCGTCCTGGCGCGCACTTTTGAAACATCTGGCATTCGGAGTAACACGCCAGTGAGATCATGCTAATGAAGTGCGGGATATTTAAATCCCCGCTTCATTGGCTATTTCGAATGCATGCATTTGCATCCGTAGTTTGAACTAGGGTGCAAGTGTAGACATACCCTAAGTACTCAGTTCATGGTGTTTTAAATGTAATTATTTTATGATTTATTGATAGATGTTTGGACAAAATATCTAATTCACTAATTTTAGAAACCTAAATGGCTAAAGGAAATTATGATTTGAGAATAATCTATTTATGGGTGTAGAAGTGGTAACATTTAATGCAGAGTAAATTGTATTCAAGGTAAGTTTAAAGTCTTTTGGGGGTAAAATTTCATGCAGTATGGATGGTTGTATAATGGGGGCTGTGAAAGGTGCAGCAGCACTGCAGGGAAAATTCTGCAATCCTGAATGGCATGGAAAGGAATTCTGCACATCTGAAGAGATGTCGTGGTGGGGACTTGGGATTGGACAGTACAGAGGCAGTAGCTCGGGCTTGCAGACTTTGGCAATCTGCAGGTATTGAATCAAATTATTTTATTATTATTATTTTACTAGTTACACTAACTGTAGTACAGGTTGCACCTCTATAAACCTGGGCTCTCTGTTGGATGGCATGGAAAGGAATTCTGCACATCTGAAGAGATGTCGTGGTGGGGACTTGGGATTGGACAGTACAGAGGCAGTAGCTCGGGCTTGCAGACTTTGGCAATCTGCAGGTATTGAATCAAATTATTTTATTATTATTATTTTACTAGTTACACTAACTGTAGTACAGGTTGCACCTCTATAAACCTGGGCTCTCTGTTGGACTTCGGATTTTCCAGGATCAGTGTGTCCCAGCACACTTCGGAGGGTTGGGGGGGGGGGGGGACCGGGACCCCCGCAG